AAAATATGGTGTATCTATATACTGGAATATTATTTGTAATAAAAAAAGAAATGAAGTGTTTTTTTAATATTTATGTCAGAGGGTTTTTATTTACTTACTGTCAATGTTTTCTGTTTTGTTTTGCTTTTTTGTTTTTAATTTAAATTTTAGTTAACATACAGTGCAATATTGGTTTTAGGAGTAGAATTCAGTGATTCATCACTTACACTCAACACTCAGTGCTCATCACAACAAGTGCCCTCCTTAATGACTATCACCCATTAGCCCATCTCTCCTCTACCTCCCTACATCAAATTTCATTTTGTTCTCTATAGTTAAGAGTCTCTTGTAGTTTGTTTCCCTCTCTTCCCTCACCCCTTTTCATATGTTCATCTGGTTTCTTAAATTCCACATATGATTGAAATCATATGGTATTTGTCTTTCTCTGATTGACTTATTTCACTTAGCATAGTATATTCTAGCTCCATCCACATTGCTGCAAATGGCAAGATTTCTTTTTTTTTGGTGGCTGAGTAATATTCTATTGTATATATATACCACATCTTCTTTATCCATTCATCAGTTGATGGGTATTTGGGCTCTTTCCATAGTTTGGGTATTGCTGATAGTGTGGCTATAAACATTGGGATGCATGTACCCCTTCGAATCTGTATTTTTTTTTTAATGTTTTATTTATTTCTAGGAGAGAGAGAGAGACAGCGTGAGCAGGGGAGGGTCAGAGAGAGAGGGAGTCACAGACTGAAACAGGCTCCAGGCTCTGAGCTGGCAGTCAGCACAGAGCCCGATGCGGGGCTCGAACCCACGAACTGCGAGATCATGACCTAAGCGAAAGTCGGGCGCTTAACCGACTAAGCCACCCAGGTGCCCCTCGAATCTGTATTTTTGTATCCTTTGGGTAAATACCTAATAGTGCAATTGCTGTATAGAAATGAAGTATTGATACATATTACATTATAGATCAACTTTGAGAACCTCATGTTAGATGAAAGAATCAAATGACAAAAGTCCACATATTGGATAATTCCACCTAATAAAATGCTTAGAATTGTCAAATTCATAGATACAGAAACTGGACTAGTGGTTGCCAGTGAGAGGAAGGATAAAAAAAATAAGTGGCTGCTGAAAGGTATGAGTTTTTTTTCTTCTTCCTTTTTTAAAAAAAAGACTTTTATTTTTAGAGGAGTGTAAGATTCATAGCAAAATTAAGCAAAAGGTATAGAAATCCCATATACCCCTTGACCTACATACTCACAATCTCCCCTCACTATCAAAATCTCACAAAAAAGCAGTGTATTTGTTACAAAGAGTCTACATTTACACAATATCATCATCCAAAGTCCATAATTTACATGAGGGTTCACTTTCAGTATTGTACCTTCTATGAGTTAGGACAAAAACAATATGACATGTATCCATCAATATAGTATCATACTATAGTAGTTTCACTGCTCGGACAGTTCACTGTGCTCAGCCTCTTCATCCCTCTCCACCCTAACCCTGATCTTTCTACTGTCTCCAAAGTTTTGCCTTTTCCAGAATGTAATATAGAGGCATACCTAATTTTATTGCACTTTACTGTGCTTCAGAGACATTGCTTTTTTTACAAATTGAAGTTTTGTGGCAACCTTGGGTTGAGCAAGTCTTGATGCCATTTTTCCAATAGCATTTGCTCACTTCACATTTCTGTTGCATTTTGCCAATTCTCACAAAACCTCAAACTTTGTCATTCTTTTTTTAAAGTTTTTATTTTGTTTATTTTATTTTACAGAGAGATAGAGTGAGCACAAGTGGGGGAGAGAGGCAGAGGGAGGGAGAGAGAGAGAGAGAGAGAGATTGAGAGAGAGAGAGAGAGAGAGAATCCCAAGCAGTTTCCACACTTAGTGCAGAGCCTAATGCAGGGCTCGATTGCACAACCCTAGGATTATGACCCAAGCCGAAATCAAGAGTTGGATACTCAACTGACTGAGCCATCCAGATGTCCCTGTAATTCTTATTATATCTGTTATTGATCTGTGATCAGTAAACTTTAATGTTACTATTGTAATTATTTGGGGGCACCAGGAGACTGTGCCCGTATTCGATGGAGAACTTAATTAACACATGTTGTGTGTATTCTGACTGCTTCACTGACTAGCTGTTCCTGTCTCTCTTTTCTCCTCAGAACTCCCAATTCCCTGAAATATGACAATACTGAAATTAAGTTCACAACAATATTGAACTACATAACCTTACAATGGTGTCTAAGTGTACACGTGGAAGGAAGACTCACAAGTCTCTCACTATAAATCAAAAGCTAGAAATGATTAAGCTTAGTGAGAAGCCATGTCAAAAGCCAACCTAGGCCAAAAGCCAAGCCTCTTGTACTAAACAGTTGGCCAAGCTGTGAATGCACAGGAAAAGTTCTTGAAGGAAATTAAAAGTACACTCCAGCAAACACATGAATAAGAAACAGCTTTACTGTTAATATAAAAAAGTTCAAGTGGGCTGGGTAGAAGATTAAACCAGCCACAACATTGCCTTAAGCCACAGCCTCATCCAAAGCAAGGCTCTAACTCTTCAGTTCTATGAAGGCTGGGAGAAGTGAAGAAGCTGTAGAAGAAAAATTGTCAACTAAAAAACCAGTACTAGCTGAGTGATATTGGGTAAGTTATATAACCTCTCTACGCCTCAGTTTCCTTGTCTATGAAATGAGGAAAGCCATAGTACTACTTTATAGAGTAGTTTGTGATAACTGCTATATAGGTGATAGTTTCTATAAGAAATCAAGAAATGAATAGCAATGAAAATAAGTGTATTGTAGAATATATATTCATACTCATACAATGTGTTGCATGTGCACACATACTTACACATGACATATTAAAGGAATCATTAAATTAATTTGGAAAAACTTATTAATTTGTCCTAGGAAGCAATGTTCTTATTCTCACGGGCTCAGACTCTTTTTTTAAAACATTTTTTAATGTTAATTTATTTTCAAGAGAGAGAGAGAGAGAGACAAACAGGGTGTGAGCAGGAGAGGGGCAGAGACAGAATCTGAAGCAGGCTCCAGGCTCTTAGTTAGTTGTCAGCATAGTGCCCAACATGGGGCTCAAACTCACAGACCACGAGATTATGACTTGAGCCGAAGCTGGAGGCCCAACCGACTGTGCCACCCAGGTGCCCCTCATGGGCTCAGACTCTTAAGTTCAACATGCTGTTTGCTGGGCCATGCGGATGAGTAGATGAAGAAAATAACGAGTGTGTGGAAGAGATCACATCTCACCGAGAAACTACAGAACAATTCTAGATTGCTGAGATAAAGCAATCCTGGCTTTAAGGAAAGATCTACCAATGTCCATAAACTCACATTTTTTGCAGTGAGGGAACAAGGCCAGTTAGCCCCGGAACTCCAGCTTAAATTTGCCTCTTCCCACCACTTTTACTGCGTGTGGAGAAATAGTTTCATCATCAAAATATACACTTCTTTGGCTGTCAAATTCTGAAATTATAACATGGATTTATATTTCCTTGGAAATTTGTGGAATAGAAAAGGGTTGAAAATACCCAGCTAACTGTAAAGAAATAAAACTAATATGAAAAATCAAAGTACATTTTTAAGTAGCATTCTCTAATTCAGAAGGGAATTATGGCTACATATGATCCTAATGGCCATTTTTTTCCTCAACTTGTCTTCACTTCATTCCTTCCTGCAGCTAAAAGAAAGGTGGTGAATGGTAATATTAGGCCCTAACAATTTAACTTGTAAAGAGAGCAAAGCAAATTATTTTCTAAAACTCTGTCATAGGCTCAGTTCACTGTTTAGTTTAGACAGACCTTGGTTTGATTCTCACTCTACTTGTTATTCAGTGTGGGGCTCAAACTTTACAACTTGAGCTTCAGTTTCCTCTTATGTCAAGTGGTCATATTGGTCATGCATCCTCACAAGGACTTAAATACTTGACACAGTACTTGGAACATGCTGAGTGCTTAAAAATTGTATTATCATTTTACTCTAAATTTATACAAGCTGCATTACAATTATGCTCTTGTACTAAAACAGTTGATTGATTTTAATTCTTGGGTTTAAGAAAACCCAATGGTTCCGTAATTTGTATTTAGTACGCACACTCTTTTTTTCTTCTTGAAACACTCTGGATCTGTTGTTTACCCTAGACTTTACTATTAGGTCACTGACATCTATGCATTAAAGAGCTTTATATTCAGTTCATTATTTATGTAAAAATAAGGAATCAGCAGCCTACACAGCTGAATGAGAACCTTAGAAATGGCCATCTCAACAAAGATGCACCAACATATTAATGCTGTTCTCAGGTAGCAATTTGTTTCCATAGCACCTAAGTGGAGAAAGACAAAATTTCTCCTTAGTCCCCTAAGGCAGAAAAACGTTAAAGGATCCCAGGTTTTGGTAAGGAAAGATGATATTTTCCAGTATCATCCCATTATCGAAACATTAAAAGTTAGTTTTAGAATTTCTCTGTTCACTAAAAGTCTCTCTTAGGCTAGAATTTGAATTCATATGTACGTTCAACGTAAAAAGTTTGAGATTTGTTTGACTCACAGGACAAAACATGCGAGTTCCTAGAATCTAAAACACCAGTTTTGCTTAGTTTAAAAAGGAAATAATAAAAGAGAAAACATCTCCTTGATAAATATGAACCTAGGAGGAGTCTGAAAATGTCAAAATGTAATATCCATGTGATCATAAATGAGAAGGAGGGCAATTTAGTCATTATTTATTCGTTTAAGAAACATTTTTTGGAAAACTTCTAAGTACCTGTCACTGTTAAATGCACTGGGGACAGTCATGTAAAACAGCCCCTGCCTCCAAGAAGCTTCAGGAAGCAAAGGAAAGGGATTGGGCCATCGATGGTTATACCAGGGGGTAGAAAATGTTTCACTGGTAAGCTGAAGTAGGATGCTGTGGGAACATCATGAGAGGGAAACCAGGAATCAAAAAGAAATTTAGCTGAAGAACGAGACAAAAGAGACTACTCAAAAAAAGCAAAAACAATTTTAATAAAGAAAATGTCTACCCTTCTAAAATCAAGCACATTTAATATGTTTATTAATACACTGAAGTTATATCTTGTTCTTTAAAATATCTTCTCTCCAAAAGACTCTGAGGCTCCACCATGATTACAGGATGCATGAAATTAAGTATATTAACATAACACAATCACTTAGTACTCCATAAAGTACATTATTTACAAGACTCCACAAGGCACACAGTTTATACAAGTTAATATGGGCTATATGAAGTGTTTTCAGTTTTCAGGTATTTATCCCTGCTAGCCAGGGTGAACATTCTTTTAACATTATACTTTGGTGTCCTCCTTTGAAAAATGGACATTGAAAAAGTTAAAAATGAGTTACTATATAGGCACTGATGTATGGAAAATGCACTCTGTATTTTTACACATTGAAAGCTGGAAATGCCTTTTGAGCCACATATATATTTAGGCTAGAAAACTCGACAAACAGTGAACAGTCTGTGAAGAATGGAAAGCCTCTTGACCAACAGTTCAGATGAATATAATTCAACATTTGCTGCACTACTAGTCTGCTTGTTAAGTTAGTTGTTCTGAAACCCTTTGGTTGTCAGGTACCAAAATAGTTTTGAAGTTAGAGAACTGCTTTCCCACTTAATTCTTGTGGGTGGCCCAATTCCCCATGATATTCACAGCTGAGAAGTATTTTTATGCATTTTTATCTTAAGTGATAAATCAAGAGCAAATTAAATCCTGTCTTAAATTTTAAAAAAATGCAAATTACTCTTCAATGACTTCAAACTGTAGGTATATAAGACAGACTCGGCTCCACATCTTGAATGCTGCTTTTGCATGCTGTCATCTCTGTAACAGACTGAAATGTCTATCATTGCATCAGGCTGCCCAATCTATTGGCCATGTAACCTAATCAAACCACTATGGCCCAATCTAATGCATGTCAGATACCGTGCTTCTGAAGTCGGTCAATAGTAATACTTTAGAGCAATTTCCTTCCAGCAAGTCGAATATACAAGTCTTTGTATTATATGCGTAAGTTTACAAAAAGCACTTCGAGCATGTCTGATCAAAACTATTGTCAGAAGATTCCAAAGCCCACACCTTTTGTCCAAATGTAATTATGACAGTTACAATAAAAGCAGTAAAAAGCAAGACAAGCAAATCTTGGGCTTTCTTAAATGATTACAACCTCACTCCTTGGGGGAATGAAAGTATTGTTGCGGGTTGTGCTTGGTTTTAGACAGATGTTACCTGGGGCCATATGTTAGAGCAGTTTCAGATTTTTTCATTATCATCATTGTTGATTTTCTTAAATGCGACTGGGCTTGCTTGTTTCAAAGACGTCTTAGAAACATCTGTGTGCATGGTAGACATGGCTATTGTCTCATAGTCATCATCCCGAGACCGGAAATCACAAAAGTTAAAGAAGAACTGTAAGTCTCTCTGGAAATTTTTGTTCAGAAATCCATAAAATATGGGGTTGACACAAGTGGATATCATCGCCGTAAGATGGCACAGCAGGAAGAGTAGATTGTGGTTGCACGTGGCAATGATCTGATGGTTCCAATCAAACACAGTGTTAAAGATGGTCAGAGGCAGCCAGCAGACCGCAAATGCTACCACAATGGACAATAGCATGATGTTGATTCTTTTGGTTTCACTGGACCTGTACTTATTGTCTCTCATCTTGTCCATCATGTTGTTTCTCCTTTTTAAGCGTATATATATCTACGGAGAGAAAAAAAGTTCAAATAGAACCACCCAGTTAATGTGGAATTCTGTGGAAAGAAGGTTAAAATGAAAATGGTAGGGAAGAAAGTGTTCTTACCTTGAAGTAGCAAATAAATATGAAACAGAGTGGGCCAAAATACTGCAGCATCAAGAGAAGAGTGGTGTATGACAACCTATGAGAGTCTGATGGAAATTTATCAAAGCACACGTATTTATCCTTGAATGCGTCGAGTGTTACGTTCTGGAACGGCTCATCAGTCAGTACTTGATAGATGAGAAAAGGTAAAGAAGAAACCACGGCAAGGACCCAAATGACGGCAATACCTACGTAAGCATGTCTGTTATTTGGTCTCCACCCTCGCGGGTTGATTATCAGCTGATGTCGCTCCACGGCGATGAGAACCAGAGAGAAAATGGACACGGTGATTGAAACACACTGCACAAAAGGATTCAATTTGCACATCGCCTCACCAAACACCCAGTGGTCCATTAATGTGTAGACAAATGTGAAGGGGAGACACATGATGGCAACAAGCAAGTCTGAGAAGGAAAGGTTCACAATCAGGATATTGGTAACATTTCTCATCTCCTTTTGTTTCAGGATGATAACGATCAAGGCCAGGTTTCCAGAGACTCCAAGAATTATTACAGCTCCGTAAGCAAGGGCTAATGTAAATATCATGGCCAAGGGCAGATGACAATCATCACTTTCAAAAGCCAAAAACTGGGAATTCTCTGAAAAATTACATAAGATTGAATGATTTTCAACCTGGGAAATTAATGTTGAATTCATTTTGATTGGTTTGGTTGTTACAGATTACTCTAGACAAATGGAAAATATGTTTCTTCAAAGCAGATCAAATATTCAGCTTATTCTTATCCTCCATATTGCAATCCATTTATCAAAATTATTCTGAATTCTTCACCCCCTTGAACGGAACAATCTGTAAAGAGAAAATGACCAATGGCATTACTAATTTCATTGAAGACAGTCAAAATGAATTCTGACTCATAGTGCTGTTTTAGGTGAAGACACTGAAATACAGAAACATATGTAATCTTTATAAACACCTTTTTTAAAATAGCAGAAACAGTGCAAACATTTTGGAAAAAAACTTCTAATTTTTTTAATTGGGCTAGCAATTGACTCCATTACTATGTTTTGATCCAGCAAAATGTAATAGTCTATAAATTAGAAGTCTATATAAATCTCATGCCCAAAGTCTTAGATAAACCACTGTCAACAGATTCCTAAATATTGTGAAAATATGAGCATGCAACAAAAAAATTTAATGTGCAGGTTAAAACAGAAGATATGAAACAAATAAAAACAACAAAAAACACATTTCCCTAATTCTTCCTCTTATACTAGAGAAATGAAATAATTAAGCTGTACTAATAGCTCCACCATACACCGTGTTCTTTAAGGCAAACATTATTGAGCACAAGCATATTCAAAAGGAGATGATCAATTTAGTGAAACATCAAAACACTTTGTCATATGGAGAGCCGTGGAAGGGACAGAAGATGTCTAACCCAGAAAAGAATAGGAATGGTACAGATGTCTTCTCATATTTGAATGGGCAGCATGCACTATAGGAAACTGGGCTTAGGATATTTAACTATACAAGCTAGAAACAGGGCCAAGGGAACTATATTACAGTGTGTTTAAAAACAAAACAAAAATTTCACATCGCTATGAGGAACAGAAGTTTAATCAAATGAAATCAACCGCCTGCAGAACTATGGAGTGTCCCATATACAAGAGCCCGTACCTACTACATGAAAGACTTTTGGGGAGCTCTTGCATTGTGTGGGAGATTCAACTGGGTAATTCTGAAGTTCCTTCTAACTTTAAGATTCGAGGATTCTATTAATATGTCAAAAGCTTTCAAAGAATTTCTAAGGTTTTATGCAAGTAAATATCCTCCCTCCTCACTAGACTGTATACTGACACAATGCCGGGGTCTACATTTTAGCGGTAATTTTGATCCTTCAGAGCATTTTGTGATACAAAGATTCTTTTCTTACCAACAGGACAAATTACAGACAAATGTTTTTAGAGATTAAAAGCTCCTTTAAAAAAAAAATCTGAGTTCCCCTAGATTGTTAAATAAATAGATGAGATTAGGGATTTCTTATGTTAATTAACAGGCTATTGTGCTTGTGTTAAGAAAGGGAATTGCATTTATTTCTTTTTTTATGTGAGAATAAAGAAAATCATGCAGATTTACTTCCATTTCAAAGGAGATAAGAAGTTTAATGAAACATTTGCCTTTTAAATGACACCTCTAATAAACCTTTTCTTGAGTATTTTTGCTTTCTAGAACATGAGGTGTTTATTTATTATAAAACCACAACTTGGCTTTTATAAAACTGAATAAAAATAAAGACTTCTAACATTTAGCGAGAATGAAACTATTAAGACGAGGAATGATTTTTACCTGTAAATGGTTTTAGAAGCACGGGTCTCCCCTTCTCAACAACTAGTAAATAATGACACCTAACCTTAATGCATTAAATGGAGCGCCTGGGTGGCTCAGTAGGTTAAGAATCTGACTTTGGCTCAGGCCATGATTTTGCCTGAGCTTGTGGGTTGGAGCCCTGCATCGGGGGCTCTGTGCTGACAGCTCAGAGCCTGGAGCCTGCTTCAGGTTCTGTGTCTCCCTCTCTCAGCCCCTCCCACTCCCCACTCTCAAAAATAAATAAACATTAAAAATTTTTAAAAATAAATAAAGTAAACTTAATGCATTACCATTACCATTAATGCATGTAATTACCATTTTTCTCTTAAGAATACCAAAAGCAGAGAGAATAATCTCTGTCTCTTAGTGTTTGAGAACAAGCCTTGAAGAAGTAATAATCTAACATTTCATGGGGGGGGGGATTTATAGTTGTTTTTATTGTTTATTATTTATTTTTGAGAGAGAGACAGAGCGATAGCAGAGGAGGGGCAGAGAGAGAGGGACACAGAATCTGAAGCAGGGTACAGGCTCTGAGCGGTCAGCACAAACTGTGAGATTATGGCCTGAGCAGAAGTCAGATGCTCTACCAACTGCGCCACACAGGCGCCCCTAGAATACTTATTTCGTACCAGGCACTGTTTTAGCGGAAACAACAGTGACCTCATGGAGTTTCCAGTCTTGTGGGCAAAGAAAGCCAAGAAGGGATAGTATGCCAGATGATACGTATCATGCAGAAAAATAAAGCAAGGAAGGGGTTCTGGGGTTGTTGAGATCTGTACTTTATTACTGGGTGGTAGGGAAGGCCTCTGCTTGTCTGAAACGGTGGCATATGAGCTAAGACCTGAAAGCGGTGAGTGAGGAGGCCATATTGATATGTCAGGGGCTGTATCCTATCTGGAAAGAACAAAGACCGGAGTTTACCTGGCATATTAAATAGCAATGATAAATGGAATAAATAAGAGAGAGACTAATAGGAAAATAATTAGGAAGGGTAAGCAGAAGAGGAACAGAATATGTAAGTATTCCATGGAACAGTCTTTTTCTCTGAGAAAGAGGAGGAATCCTGGAGTCTTTGGTAAAAGTGTGAAGGTCTAGGACTTGTTTTACATTATTACTCTAGCTGCTGCTTTCCACAGACTTTAGACAGGAAAGAAGAGAAGTAGGGAGATTCATTAAGAGGCTATTTCAATAACGGAGACACAGACTGAGGTGTTTGAAGTGCAAAGGAAGAAAAATAGAAAATTTAAATCCATTGACTTATTTTGACAAAATTCTATACATACTGGAATTAATGTAAACACTTATCAAATTCTTACGAGTGCAGGCTACCAAGTCAGCTTCCTGCAGATGGTTTCAAGTGCATATACTGAAATTCAGCTCTCGTCCCTTTAAAATTATATTTGATGGACATGCTCTGTGATGGACATACTTCTACTAAGTAGATGCTAACTTAACTATACAGAAAATGCAAACTACTTCTTTTTAAGTGTTTGCAAAGCCTCCTTTTCTCAATGTTATGTTCAGTAGTCATTCCAGTTTGGTAAAACCCTCTGCGCTGGATAAAATGTGTATTTTCAGCCTACCATAGTATAATTTCAAGAAAGGATAGTTGTCAGGAAGTAATACTCAGAGAGAAAGCATTCACATACATTGTCTTTGCACAAGGAAAAATAAGTTGATATTCACTATTCCGGTATTTAGAATAAGATATGCAACTACAGACACTGCAAAAATTCAAGGCTGTTAGATCTCAATATAGTGATCATGAGCCATTAGAGACAAAATAGAGATACTACATACATCACCAGTTGGAAAACTGGCCTCCTTCCAAAGGGAAATTTCCTCCTCCTTTCCAATTGAAATGCTGGTCTTCCACTGCTTCCTGTTCTTAGTGCTGTTACCATCTGAAAATACAGGTTTCTAGTCATACCCTGCAGCAGATACATTTTTTTGCATACTCAGAATTGGCTGCTCACCTTACTTGTTTTGGAAAAGGAATGTCAGGCTTGTTACACAGAGCCTTCCAAAGTTACTGCTAGTTGATCTATGTGAGTTACATAATTCTCTCTTCCTTTCTCTCCCAGGAGGGCTGGTTCAATAGACAGCTGCATTACAACGAAAAGGAAAGCCTAATAATGCAGTAGTCACCCGTCGAAAAGCACTCAGTCTGTAGGCACAGGTGGGGTACTGGGCTGGAAAGCTTTCTGCTCTCTACCAGGAAAGCAGTCTAGAATCTTGAGGCTGACAGATACTGTTTCTCTGTTTCTGTCCAGGGAGTGACAGGCAAGTTTTGCACTTCCCCCTGCCTGGGGACCACCTAGTGAGATATGCTTTTTCTAGGATCCAGGTAGGCATGACAAATCTGAAAGCTCGGGGGGGGGGGGGGGGGGGGGGGGGGGGGGGAGGGATGTCAAAACACACTCCTTTGCCCTCCCTTAACTTTTTCCTGTGCTCCAGCAGTTACCAAAGAATGAAATGGGCTGGTTAAATCAAAAGTCTTTTTGCCACGCTTCCATGCCCACCTTTTTCCATACAGTGTCATTAGGGGAACTGCCCCAAATTTTCCACATTCCTAACCTTTCGGCCCCCTCCTCCATTTGTCAGCCGTCTATCAAGAAACGAGGTCTCTCTACCTGTGATGATGAGAACTGGCAAGCAAAGCATCCAAACCAAAAATAAGAAGCAGCGCCAGCCGGTTCTCTCTGGACCAATAGCAGTTCTTAGAACATTCGCCTTTCTCCAGTCTAGCCGGAGAGACCAACGGGTACACTCTTCAGCCACCCCTACCTCCAGCCCATGCATTGGGACCCTCCAGTGCTAACCCTGCCGGGTTCCATCATCGCCGTTCCCAAAGGAGCTGAAGAGTTGATGACTGAAACTCAGAAATAAGAGGCTAGGGCTCAGGGCATCTTCCAGGGCGCAGCGACAGGCTGGACGGGCCCAGCACGGACTGATCGGGGCTCCATTCCAGCCCAGAGGCGGGAGCCCACAAGTGTCTGGCGACGCCGTGCCTGGGCCCCGGGGTCCGCGGGCCCCGCGTGGGGCAGGTGCGGCGGGACGGGGACCAAAGTGGACCACTCGCCAAACCCACCCTTCCTTAGACCATCCCAGCCACTGGTTCCTCCGCCCAAACTCCAGCGCAGCCTCCAGGGCAGCCAGCTCCAAAAAAAAAAAAAAAAAACAGAAACACAAACAAAACAACACAAACAAACAACCGGCGGAAGATGCGCGAGGTCAGGGGAACACGGCCTTACGGGAACCTGAAGAGGGGAGAACTCAGGTCCGCGTCCCAAATCCTCGCGGAGCAGGGTGTGCGGATGCCGTCAAGTCCCGGGTACGAACGGCGGCCCACGCCCATAGGCAGGAGTCTCGGAGTTGTGTGAGCAGCAGCAGCACCTTGCGACCTACCTGCGCCGGGAGCCTACTGAACAGCTGACTCCAAGCCCCACCTGTTTCCCCAGAGTGAATTCCGGGCACTAGGCATATTTTTGTTTTTTTTCTTTTTCTCTTCTCCTCCGCCCCCTCAATGAGAGATTTCTCAAAAGTCCCTAAGAAGATGTAAACTTGAAACTTACCCACTGTTGGATTCGTCTTTTTCTCCCGTTTACTAAAGCGGGAAGAACGGTAACGGAAGGGAGCAGAGCCGGGAGAAAAGATCCGCTGGTATTTCTCCTGCTGAGATCCTAAAGATTGATGAAGATAGGAAGAGACGCCCCCTTAAAGCCGAACTCCACCTCATCCCCAGATCACGTGACGGCGCCCCGCGAGTAGCGCCTGATGCTCCCCCCACAAACACCTCGGCTTGGATATACACTTTGGGGGTGCGTTGCCTAGGAATTCTGAAAGGAAAAGAAATGAAACATCCACACGTTGTAAGGCACAGACGCACGGTGCAGAGGAAAGTAAGCATGCATCCCCACGGTCCTGGACTCCCAGGAAGGCAAGACAATTTTACTGGGCTTTAAAAGTCAGAGCCACTGTGGTTTCCTTTGTTTGCAGGTCAGTGCCATCTTGTGGCCGAACTTCTACCCGGCTGAAAAGCTGGAGCGTCAGCCCAACTCAAGAATGAAAGGGGCTGTTATTTAGGAGAAAAGGAAATGTGAAATTCACCGCAACAATGTTACTAATATGTTCCTTGCTTTCTTTGGTGACGTTTGTATATTTCTCACATCAGTGCGGAGAAGTTGTACCCTCCTCCCCATTTTAAAAGCGAACAAAGAGAAGACCTTAAAAAAACAAAACTAGCAAATCTCAGATGAGATAGCCTGGCCTTTTGTCCTTCTTTCTTTCCACTGAGAAAATGCAGTCAGGTTTGTTCCCAGTGCCTAGCTGCTTTTTTTAGGGAGGCACGCTGAACGGAACATTTCCCTGGTGGTCAAAAAGAGTCAATGCCATTTCCTCGGTGCTTAATCTACTGCCGTACTGAACGTTACGAAGAAGAAAAGAATGGAATGTACACAGAGTACATTGATGGTAGCAAAGCCATCATGGTGCCCGGTGATTCAGGATCATTACTGATAACACTGATTTCAGATGTTTTACATAGTTGTATTCCACTTTGAAAGACCAAAGTTGTGTATTTCTCTCTCACTCTCTCTCTCTCTCTCTCTCTCTCACACACACACACACACACACACACACACACACACACATCATTTACTAGTGAGGATGAATAAATAGAACTTCTTCCAGATCAAGCTCCCAAAAAAGAAAAAGTGCTCCTAATAAAGAAATAAAGATATAGGACACTGCCTAGGACATGCATAAAAGTTTTATTATGTAACAACTAGGATTGCATTCTGTCTTCAAACTAAAAACAAAACAAAATTCCAACACAAAGGGAGTGACCTAAACTTTACACTGCTAAAATGTTTTCTCTCCCTGGCTATTAGGCAAAATAAACACTATTTAAAGTTCAGTATAAGTCATAACTCATTTATTTATATAGTGATGTAAACATCTCTTGTTTTTCCCCCAGGAAATTTTTCTAAAATATTTGTCATTGGACATTTTTATTTAGTCGAAAAGGGATTATGATCAAGAATTAAAATATCGTGGTCATGTAGTAAATGAACTACAATAATAGATGGGAACAAACATTTTACAAAATCCCACTACCGGTGAAACAGAGTAAAATGGCATATATATTTTCTTTTATGCTTTTCTTATTTTAACCAAGGATGAAAATATAAGGCATAATTTAGGAATTTCAATTCTTTTAAAGAGCAATAACTCTAGGTTTCTAATCGCCTTCTGTCTACTCCATTCCCTCAAATCACATTCTGAGAAGCAAGTTTGCCCCAAGGTTTTTTGATCATCAAACTGGCTAGTTTTAGTCTGCTCCAAGAATTACAAATGAAATAATTTAATTCTCTATGAGGAATGCATTTTTATGTAAATTTGTGCCATGTTTGCAAATATTTTGGAGTTGAAAATATCACCTGGACTCATTAGACACTTTCCTTTCTGTATTTCCCAACAATGCTAAGAAAGTCATGTCTGCAAGAATACCCCAAATAAACGTGGCCATTGTATTTTATCTTTTTAATTGAATTGTCATAAAGTGCCCCCATAAGGGAACTTCATAAAGCTGCATTCTTGAAATATTACTATCAAATACCATTCTTTGAAAGTTCCTTGGTCTCAAAGATTTTTCTGTGTCAAATTCTGTGATGCAAAGACAAGTCTTAAAATGTTCACCAATAGCAAAAAATTGTATAATGCTCTAGGAGTATCAGTTACTAAGTACTTTTTCAAAGGGTAAAATAGAAAATTAAATTAAACTACATTTTAAAAAGTGTAAAATAAAAAAATTCAGGATAGTATGATAACCTAATACAACTTATATAATGTAAATTTATGGAAGGTTTGAAATAACATAATCTGAGTTCCTCAGAAGACATGTGTTAAAGAGTAATCTGAATTCCTCAAAAGGTGTGTTAAAGAGAAGATATGTGTGAAATAAAGATAGCTTCTTTTTCTACTCTTAAATGAACAGCCAGTTTTATACTTTCTTATTTGGAATTCAAACTAGATAAAACCTCACCTTTGCTAGGGAGAGAGAGGTTTTCCTCTTCTTTTTGTGTATTTCCTTCTGAAATTTTATAGCATCTGACCTATAAACCATGACTAGAAGAATTAGATTAATGACCTGTTCCCATGTTCTCTTGGGCAAGTTTTTGTTCTGTCATTTAAAGAGAAGAATAGGCTGTATTCATTAAATCTCTGTAGACCTTAGTTTTATCATCCAGAAAATGGTCTGGCCCTTTAAACTGCAGGATTCGAGGACTGCCTAGATAAAAGTATATCACTCCACCTGCTGCTGGTATTTATCCATTGTACCTACTTTATTGGTCTTTTGATGAATTCCTGCTGCAAGAGTTAATTAAAGTTTCCAAAATGTAACAAAAGGCCTTGTTACAGGAAAATTGTTTTAAATTATTGCTCAGATAAATCTTATAGGCATTAACACTACATGTGAAAACTAGAATGTAGATGATACTGTAAGGAGAAAGTTCCATTGGAGTAAAACTTAATATGAACCATGTTGGGGAATCAGTTCATATTCTACCATTAGTTAAGTGCTAGTTTTTCCTTCTTTCAGTAACTTACCTATTGCATTTATTTGAATTGATGATGTCACAGAATATAGATTGCAACATTATTGTATGGACCACTGAGAGAGAAAGAAAATGCTTCCAGTAAAGCAATGACACACAGTCAATTATAAGTGAATCTCTATGTTAGAGTATTAAACCGTTTTTAAAATCCTCATCTTAGAATCAATGAAATGTAGGAGGTAAAGAGTTTTGACTAAATTGGTTAGTATAATAAAATAGTCAAAGCAATCACTTA